CAATTTTTATTGGTAGCACCGACTCTTTTAAGCAAGCGATCTATTATACCCCCCTTCTAGATCCGTGCCATCGTCTAACACCAATAACAATTAGACTTTAGGCATCAATAACAATTAGATTTTAATCAACTCCACTAACAGTTGGACTTTAGATACCAATAACGGTTGGATTTTAAACATTTCCAGTAACCACTGGACTTTCAAAGGGACTGGTGACAACCAAATGAGCAATACCAATAATGATTGGATTTTAGGCAATGCCAGTAATGACTGGACTTGGGATAGCAATAACCATTGGATTTTAACTGATATCAGTAACTACTGGACTTTAAAACAATTTCAATAATCACTGAATTTTAGATACCAATCATAGTTGGATTTTAAACAATGGTAGTAACCACTAGAATTCACAGGGGCATTGGCAACAACCAGATAAGAGAAATTGATAATAGCGAATCATGAAAATTCCAATGACAATTGGACTCTGCAAACAGCGGGGTTAGTAACCGCTAAATTCACGGGAGTACTAGTGACAACCAGACGAACAATGTCAAAAGGAACACTAGTAACAACTAAGATTCACAAGAGAAGCTAGTGATAACCAGACATGCAAAATTAAATAGGGAGCTAGTAACAACTAGACTTCACGGGGGAGACTGGTGACAACCAGACAAGCAATACCAATAACAATTTCATTTGCAACAAGTGCCAATAACAATCGGACTTTCCAAAGACTACTAGTAACGACTTGACTTCAAAGATGTGTTAACAACCGGATTCAAAAGTACCAAAGAAGATTGGGTTATGAAACAGAGATGCTAATGACAACTAGACCTCAAAGGGGATATAAGTAACAACCCAAAGTTGAACAAAATGCCAATTATAATCGAATTTAAGCTGAAAATTGGTGACAATCAACAATCTCAAAAGGGGTGCCAGTTACAACTAGATTCAGGGTCAAAGGGCTACAACCAACAACAAAGACCTAGAGAGATGCTAAGTGCACATGATATAGCATGATGAAAACGCTTAAAGATATGCAAGAACTGGCTCTGAAGAGAGGTAAAGAAAACAGAGACTCAAGAGGAGATAGATGAACATAACAACTCCGTCGGGGAATAAAGAGTCACACTGAATCTAGGGCACAAAGATGTCCAGAGGTTCACTGAGAAATACACCTACTTCGCTTTGGGAAGTATGAAGTTATGGTAGCTTTCTGGGGAGATAAAAATCTTCAGCATTCAGACATGTACCACATGGACGATACTGGGGACGTTCTTCAATCTTGGTAACCACTCATGACCACAGGATCAATCCAAAAAGGCATCATCAATTAATTCCTGGTTCAATAGGGATTTCATGCAATGGTCTAACAGTGCTTTTTCCACATTAAGACCTCTTGAGGAACATGTGATTTCACTAAATCATTCCACGAGCCAAAGTGAATTTATGTTTTCATTTTATTTTTCAAAAAAACTACTTTATTTATTTATTTCAAAACCTCTCGCTTTCATAATCATTATTAACAAATAAATGACATTTCGCATAGCAAGGATAAGTAAGGAAATGGTAAGTAACGAAAAAATCGAATGGTCCCAAAATTTGATTTTATTCAAGAATGGTAGCTCACAAATGGAAAAGCTCCATCAAACATTACAATTTGAAAATGGAAATAGGGAAAAGTTACATTGAATCCACTGACTACTACTAGCCCCTAATAACTAAAAATTCCCCAAAACCTTGTTTCTGACTGTTGCAACTACGAAAAAATCAACTGGCGGAAACAAACAGAAGAGTCACCATCAAACGTTATTTATCCCAAAGAGAGGGAAAGGAAACGATCGAAGAAAACCTAAAAGAAAGGAGAAGACACGGTCATCGCAACCAAATATTGGGTTCGGGAGTCGGTTAGGCATGAGAAAGGTATTAGCACCCCCTCACATCCGCTGTACTCAACATGATACATGCTTGTTGTCTAATAAAATGGGGTATTCTGTAAAAGCTACTGCTAAGCGGAAATAGAAAAAGAAAAAGGAGACTCAATAGGATATCGCAACCCTATCTCTACGTATTCTGTCGTGCAATGAGAAAGTTAGAGCCAACGTAGTTCGAAAAACTACGGGTGATGGAGGGAAGGTTGCTCGCCAAGACATCACCATCTTGTGCCTACGTATCCTCATCTGGTATGAGAAATCAGAGCAAACGTAGTTTGGGTAACTAAATCACTGGTTGGTTAAGTGTTTTTTATGAGCGACATTAAGTTCCCATTCCAACAGTTAGGGTCGATGCATGTTTGTGATATAACGAAAAGTAACGTGCTCTTTTTTGAAAATGAGTTTGAAACAAATCCCGAAGGATAAAAAGTTTGAATTTTTTTTGTGAGTTTTAATGAAGTGAATTGATTTGATTTGTGATTCACGTTGCACTAAGGACTATGATATAGGAACGAATGCGTCACATATCGCCCATGGGGCATGCACTAAACACTCTAGACAAGTGAGGAGAAACCCCCTACTCATCATTTCCAATATGCTTAAGGCTCGTGGCGCACAATGTTCATCGTCTTTATTAAGTATTTTGAATTTTTTTGAGATGAGAAAAGAATACCCAAAGAAAAACACTAAAGGGAACTGAAAACCCTAATGTTATCATACAAAATGGTCTTAAGGTTAAGATAAAAGGGAAATCTACCTAATGTTATCATACAAATGATGGACCTAAAGTTGAGATGAAAGGGACTATCCTAATTGTTATAATGCAAAGGATTGAAATCCTAATGTCTTTCCTACTCCCATCTTAATCAAAAATTAAGTGAGACTAGGAAACCTAAGGGATCATGTGAGCAAGCACAAGTAAACATCATTCAATTTAATCACAATTGAAAACACATCTCAATAAGAGAAGAAAGATGAAAATGAAGAAGAATTCCAAAAAGATGCAACTAGAAATATATTATCAAAGGCACCTGGTGCAATAAGATATATTGTAGTGTTTTTTTACTTCTTCATATAATTTCTTTCAAAGTTCTTCGAAGCGCGTTTTTTACTTCTTCGTATAATTTCTTTCAAAGTTCTTCGAAGCATATGTTTAAAGCACATTACAAGCAAGTCTTCTTGTGTTAAAAAATGTGTACAAGATAACTTTGCTTTAAGAGTTATAGTGAATTTTTTTATCAGAGAACTTACTTGGATGCCTGTCGATTTGATGTATGCGAACTAGATAACTTGGATCAAAGTGTTTCGGTAAGTAAATTTTTTTCATTGGTTTGGAGAAATTGAAAAGAGAATGGGGAAAAAGTAAAAAAAAGGACAAATAAATTATTTATACATGTTGGTCAAGAGTGATATAATGTAGGAGTAGGGGGATAAATGTTGGGGCATAGGTAAAATTTTTATGGATGTATGATTTGCAAACTTAGGGATGTAAGTAGTAATACCAGAAAAGAATTGCTCATTCCACCACATGTAGTGAAAAAACATCCTAACAAATTTCACAAATGTCCTTCAGAATCCAAAAATGCATTTTTGTACGCATCCTTTTCACACCAAAACATGTCCTAAGTGAGACTCACTTCATTTCCCCCCAAATTTTAGTCCGGAGATGCATTTCCAGATTCACCCTGTACCATTTATGCTAAATCCATATGTAAATGAGTCACACCCTTATATATATATATATATATATATATATATATATATATATATATATATATATATATATATATATATATATATATATATATATATATATATATATATATATATATATATATATATATATATATATATATATATATATATATATATATATATATATACACACTTCTGAAATAAATTCAGAAGTATACTTTCGAAATAAATCTAAAAGTATACTTCCTAAAACATTTAAAACCACCTTCTATCACTTTATATATTCATTTTGTTTCTTGAGCTTATTTTTACAATGTCTTGTTTGAAAAATCAAATAGAGAAACACGAAAATGTAACTCTTTATTTCGTCATTTACTTACCAACACACCATTTGATCTACTTCCCAATACAACATCCCCCATTTGAGGCTATTTTTAAAACCAACTCCCGTGAAGAAAACCAAACTATCATTTCAGGCTTCCTTCAATTTTTCAAAGGACTTACTTTTTCATTCTTCCATAATCTTTCTATTGATTTTAGCCCATAATTTTAGATGTATTATGAGATGAAATAGGATTTAGCATTGTCACATCAAATGAGGTATTTAAAACCATATATGGATTTGTATTACCGTATTTCACCAATATGTTCAACTGTTTTGCCTCCTCAAAAAGGTTTTCGAAAGTATACTTATGAATTTAAATCAAAAGTGTATTTTTTAACTTTTTTTTTAAAAATGAGGGTGTGACTCATTTACATATATACTTAATGTATTTGAGATACGTTCGAAGTACATTTCCAAATTCTAAGGATAATTTTGATTTTCACTAGGGCGAGGAAGCAATACTTAGGGTGCCTTAAGCAACCCCGGTCCAAAAAGGAAAATTTTACCCCATACCCCTACAATTATACCTATACCCCAACACTAAAAAAATTTGGACCAAAATACCATCATATAAATAATTATAATTTTAGAAATTCTCCTTTCCATTTTCATTTCCCTCTTAAGCCTTTTGAGAGACACTTTTTGTTGTTGTATACCGGAACTTACATCACAAGTCTTCTGGTTCATAAAGTGCATATCAGAGGTGTTAAAGTAAGTCTTCCGATTCTGTTTTTGTATCGAAAGTCATTGAAGAAGTCTTATGGTATTATGATTTTTTGAGGTTATTTACTCAAAGTGTTAATGCAAGTTTTCTAGTTCGTTTACGTGAAGATTCATACCAGAACTCATATTTGAAATGTCCCGGTTCGATTTTTTTTTATCTTTCTTTAATTTTTTTTTATGTTTTTATTTTGGCAGTGGTGCACACACGAGGCAAGGACGGTAAGATCTCTGATCGTGGTCTAGGACAGGGCGAATCATCGAGAATGGCTGAGGAAAAGCATACTGGTGCATCTGCATCAGCAACACAGCCTGTTGGATATCCAGGAGGACCGTACGATACCTCTCTTTTGGTTAAGTGTGAACATCATATTGCTAGACATATATGGTTCAGTGAGGTAAGTAAACGACAATTATTTGATATTGAATAAAATATGAATTTTTAATGTTGTATTTTATAATATATTTAATTTTAATTATTTTTAGGAGAGAGATCCGAAGAAAGAGTTGAAGGTAGCAGGACATGGGTTGAAGCTGACTAAGAGGGTTCCACTGCTGCTTCTTAGAGAGATGGAGGGTTGGATATCTAGGTCTGGTCTATCTTCACTCCAAAGAACTAGTTTGATAAAGATAGATACAAACCTGGTTTCCGCATTTGCAGAGAGATGTCATCTAGAGACATCTTCATTTCACATGCCATTTGCTGAGATGACGATTACTCTGGATGATGTCTCTTGTCTGCTTCACTTGCCCATAATGGGAGTCTTCTAGAACCCTCAAGATATCAGTGACGGGATTGTTATTGAGTGGAATGCTGATTACTTAGGAGTGTCACAAAGAGTGGCACAACAACAAGTCTGTGACTGCATGGGTTCTTACTATAATTTGGAATGGTTATACGATCGATTCGTATAGCATAAAGCTGCTTCTAGATGGACATATGCGAATAGAGCTTATTTGTTGATGTTAGTGGGTTCCACGATTTTTGCGGACAAGACCTTTACGCTTAGAGAGACACGATACCTCTTATTACTTATGGACTTGGAGGGCTTATCAAGATACAGTTGGGAACAGCTGTGTTGGTTACCCTTTATAAATATTTCGGAGATGCTTCCATGTTCATTTGTAAGCATCTCGGTGGTTATCTGACTCTCCTACATGTATTTACTTTAATTTAATTTATTTTGTTTTAATTAATTTTGTTTAGTATATTAATTTTATTTATCTAGTTTATTATGTTATAATTAATTATTTAAAATTAACTAGTAGTATTAATTTTGTAACAGTGCTGGACTCATGAGTATTTTTCAATACTTAGAAAAAAAGGAGAGAATTGGATACCAGCTAATAATGTTGGTCTCCCTTGAGCGATGAGATGGTCCTATAGGCAAGGTGTCTTGAAGGTGGACGAGCTGACACCTGCCGATGTCATATGCCGCCCATTCGAGGATCATAGAGTATGTCATCCGTTTGATGAGTTATGTCTATACAGTGGGTGTTTGAGGTGGGGTGACACTATTACTCCACACTTGCCTGACAGATGTATGTGTCAGTTTGGATACAGGCAATATGTTCCACCTCCACCTCTTGATTATATGATGGCTGGTGATATTGATGTTGAGTGGATTAGTTACCATCAGAGTGTTGGGGATGTGATTCGTCCTACAACACTGGCCACCACCCCATTTGAGATAAATGATGAATATCTTTAGTGGTATTATCGTGTTTCACATCCTCGTATGTTACCGCCCCATCGTGATGCACCAAGAGAGGTGTTAGTTCCTATTTATGAAGCAAGACCATCTGATCCTAGATGGGCTCGTGTTTCTTCATTAATTCATCATTATCTTCAACAGTCTAGTGCTGAAGAGGATGATCCATAGTTTGCTGAGTTGTTCAAAGCTTTACGTATTGCTCGTTCACATTGACTTATATTTATGTGTTAAATTTTAGACTTATTGACTTATGTTTATGTTTATGTATTAACTTTTAGACTCACTTGACCTAGTTGGGATATGTTTATGTGTTAACTTGTAGACTTATGTTTAGTTTTGAATCTAGTTATGTGTTATTGAAATTAAAAATGAATAACATAATTCATGATTCATGTTTTGAAATTAAAAATGAATAACATAATTCATGATTCATGTTTTGAAATTAAAAATGAATAACATAATTCATGATGCGTTGGTAATATAGGTGTAATTTGTTGTCAATGTTGTAGACGTCCTGCAAATCCTAGCATCCAAGATGTTACTGCTGGAGATCGAAACTTCTTCCAATCTACTATCACTGGCGGCAATGGAAACCCTTCTTTCATGTTTACTTGAATAAAAATAATAATCAAAACGTTAAGTAAAAATAACTGAGAAATTAGGTTAGTCACATTAACTAAAAATAACTAAATACCTGAACCCAATGACTTGTATTTACAAAACCAATGCAGTAAAAGGATACATTTGGTGAAAATGAAGTTGTCATAAGGAAGAAAGTCCAACATTCAAATCCTAAACAGGCAAGTACAACATTATAATGACTCGATATCAAGTAAACCATATATGGTAGAGTCAAACATTTATGTGGTGGTTGAGGTATAAAATGCCTCTATCATCAAAGATTCTCTCACTTCTACTAACCGATCAACAAATAAATTGGCATACAAACTTGATTTTTCATTATGTATTATTTCCAACCCCAAGTCTCGACAAACCATTGGCCAACCATCTTCACCATATCCATGAAATGAAGCAATGACTCTAAATCCACAATTACCATCTGATACAACATTAACTACATCATCAATATATGACCTGATGTAATTAGGAAACTGAAGGATGAACTGCTTAGATTAATGTGAAGATTGTGATAATTTCAACTTCTTCGAAGCCTGTGATGGTTGAGATTTCTTCTGAGAAGATTGTGATAATTTCAACTTCTTCGAAGTCTATGATGGTTGAGATTGCCTCTATGAAGATTAAGATGCTTGATCAACATACTCATGATACGAAGAGTCCATATAAACATCATACCCTACTGATTTTTTGCCTTTCTTCTTGACTCCCCCTTTGGGTTTTATTTTCTCAGATGGTGGACACAAAGAAGTCGTTGTGGGGAAGACAAGTTCAAAAACCTTACTTTTTAATGCCCTATTCCAAACAACATCTAGTGACCTAAACCTTTTCCATAAATCATCTATTGCACTACTCATATCCACCTCTGATCCATCGTCTATGTCTTCCTCTAACTTAACTTCCATACTTAGTTTCCTCCAATGAACATGCACAATATCTATTGGTATATAACATCAATTCTATATCCTGTCAACTCACAAGCACAAGGTAATCCATAGGTTGTTCTAAGAGTATAACAACATATTTTCTTGTTAGTTCTAACATAATCAACTTGTGTTAACTCTTCAGCAATGTGTCTCAATGCAGGTCGAGACACTAAACCATGTAAGTTATTATAAAATGGACTTACGTGGGTGTGCTTTTCAACGTTGCCCAGTTGTAACTTTAAGTTGTCATTCATAGCCTCTGAACATTTGACCATGTCACCAGTACTATTTCCCAACATCTGCTTTAACTTCTAATGAGCAGACTTAACCCTAAAAATAATACATATTAAAAATACTTTAAAAAATATACAATTTAGAAATACTAAAAATAAATACATACCGATTATTCGTGGTGTTACCCAAATGCATCACTCGATTAATCCATGCTCCAACAAATCTTTGTCTATGTGGTGTCAAACATATGTCATTCACATAATCAATAAATTCATTACAATCAACGCACGTATGCTCAATTTGGTTCAACCATTGGTCATACTCGATATCATCACTAGCTCATACAACTTTCATCCATAATTTGTCAATTGCCTCTTGCATGTCACTAGCCACATATTGTTTCCATTTGCACCAAAATTTTTGTTAATATGAAATCGACATAGCAAATTGATCGACCTTGGAAACACAGTTTCAATGGCTTTCATCAAAGCAAGATCTCTATCAGTCAAAATCACTTGTGGACACAAATCTTTCTTCATAAACAATTGTTTAAGCTTATCTAACACCCAACAAAAGTCTCAGTCTGCTCAGACTCAATATACGCAAATGCGACAGTAAAAGTCAACTCGGTTGATGTCATGCCAACAATTTCAAACAGAGGTTACCTATATTTATTTGTCTTGTAAGTGGTATCCATAACTAACACAATAGAAAAAATATCAAACACCTTAACTAAATCTGGATGAGTCCAAAATATATCTCTAATAACTTCATAGAAATTTATTTTTCTACTCTAATAAACATAACCTACACCCTCAATAAGCTTAAACAAATGTTGTATCTCACTTATAAGACCTCTTATCTTTTTTTCTATCATACTCTTCTGCTTGTATATTTGCGTGATCCGAGTGACATTCTCCAGATCTTACTCTTGCAAAGAAAACAATATATGCCTAGGTGGAACCTTTCTCTTTGTCAAATCAACAACATGTTGCTTCTGATCCGTCGTTAACCTACCAACAAAGGAGTGACCTTCTAACCTATCAGGTAAATCATGGTTATAAACTCCACATTTTATGCCAACCTTCCATCCAGATCCATCATTCGCTGTAATTGATCTGATTTTAAATGGACATCCATATTTTTTCACCGCACTCTGGGTTCCACTATCAATATCTTTGTGTTTTCCACCTTTATCACAACCAAATATTAATTTGTTACTTCTTTCTCTCTGGCCTGTTTCAATATCTGAATGAGTGATGATAACCGTTACGTTAGTTCAGATTCTGATCTCTTTAATCCATCTTATCTCCTCTTCTCGTGTACCAAATTTTTGAGTAGTTGAAAAAACATCAAACATATCTACACATATATGGTCTTTATCGCATATATTGCGGAGAAATTTTTGTACCTGCAGAATAAAAAAACAATTAAAAAAAATTACATTTACGAAAATAAACTGGAAGTCTCAGGAAAAGAGTTTCGGTACACAAAGTTACCAAACCGAAACTCTTAAGAAAGTGTTTCGGTACATATTATGACCAAACCGGAAGACATGACAAAAAGTGTTCCGAAGAGTCATAAGTAGGTCTCAAAACCAGAAGTCTTTTTATAACACATCCGATACATGTTTTGTAATGAACCGGAACTCTTAGCCAAAGTCTTTCGGAGTGAAAAAATACGTACTAGAAGTCATTTTAAAAGTGTTCCGAAATGATGTTTATAGGGTAAATTTTTTAAAACTCTGACAATCTAACAGGAATAGTAAAAAGTAAAAAAGTAAAATAATAAAAAATAAATAGGAATAAAAATGTAGAGATATAAATATAATTGTAGAGGTATAAGGTAATGATTACGGCCTTTGGAGAATTGTAGTCCATAAGGCCCAAATCCAGCATAATTGTGTGTTTTCTTTCCCTATAAAAACCGGTGTTTCATTTTGAGAGAGGCATTGGCGCGAGCGAGGGCATCTAAGTTTTGAGCAAACAAAAATGGCGGAAGAACACGAAATTGAGACTGAGACTGAGACTGAAACTGAGCTTGAAGAAGAGTTCTCTGTTTGGAAGAGGAACACTCCTCTTTTATACGATTTGTTCATTTCCCATCCTCTCTCATGGCCTTCTCTCACTGTTCAGTGGATTCCTGCTTCTCCTCAACCCCACTCCCACCCTTCCTTCAGCACCCACAAACTCCTCATAGCCACTCACACTTCCAACGAGGAATCCAACTACCTCATGGTCGCAGATTCAACACTCCCCGTAAACCCATCTCAACCCATCTTTTCCGATGACCCTGAAAACCCCTTTCTTCCTAAGGTTTTCATTTTTTTTCATCCTTGTTTTTTATTTGCTTGATTTTTAATGGGTACCAACTGGTCGATGAAATTCCTAAATGCTACTTGTTTATTTTGCAGGTAGAGATTACTCAAAGGGTTCTTGTTGATGGCGAGGTGAATCGGGCGCGTTCTATGCCGCATAACCCTAGCATTGTTGCTGCAAAGACTTGTAATTCCGAGGTTTATGTGTTTGATTTTGCCAAGAAACGAGGAGATAATAATGATCCTGATTTCAGGTTGAAGGGTCATGATGAAGAAGGTTATGGGTTGTCTTGGAGTCCTTTTAAGAAAGGGTACCTTTTGAGTGGTTCTAATGATCATAAGATTTGCTTGTGGGATGTATTTTCTGAATCTCAGAACAATGTGCTAGATGCTGTTCATGTTTACGAGGTAATGCATGTCTGGCGTGTTACATTGGATTTGTTGTTAGATTAATTGTTGTTTTGATGATGGAATCATTGAACTTTTGATTGTGTGTGTTAGGGCCATGAAAGTATTGTTGAAGATGTGTCTTGGCACACAAAGGATGAGAATTTATTTGGGTCAGGTGGAGATGACTGCAAGTTGATAATTTGGGATTTGAGGACGAACAAAGCGCAACAATCACTCAAACCCCATGAAAGGGAGGTAATGACGTTACTTCATAATCTTTGTGTAGGCTAGTCTATTCTTCATCAAGCATGTAATATGGTAGAATGACATGCTGTCTATCACATAGAATTTCCTTTATTTATGAGGAAAGATGCTTATTTTTTCTGCATAACTATGTAGCACGGACACCTCTAAGAAAATGAGTGCTGGCGTGTTAGTGTTGGGGTTGTATTCAGAGTTTCCGTGCTTCACAGCTGCATAAGATTCTTAGAATCAGCCCATTTTGGGATTTATATGCTATTGTTTTGCCAAAGGCAGCAATTAATTTTGACCATGATGGTCTTAAACATGGTGTTTTATTATGTTTTCAATTTTGGTAGTTTTCACAGTTTTCTTTTTTTTTGTGCTGAAACATGCTCCTGAATGTCTTGGTATTTTTGCTGGAATATTAGTTTGTCACTCACAGTGTTATGTTGTCTCCTCTATTTTGTTTTGAACAGGTGAACTTTGTTTCTTTCAATCCATATAACGAATGGATTTTGGCTACAGCATCTTCGGACACCACTGTTGGTCTCTTTGATATAAGAAAGCTTGAGGCGCCATTGCATTTTTTAAGTAGCCACACGTATGTCCTTCAACTATCACTTATTCATATTGTTTATATTATTATCCTGTAGTTGATGGGTCAAATAATTATATTTGTTAACCTTTTAGATCCAATTTCTTTAGTTGTGGAAATTTCAGCACCTTCTACTTACTGATTTGGTTTACTTTTCATGTGTAGAGATGAGGTGTTCCAGGTAGAGTGGGATCCTAACCACGATGGAATTTTGGCATCTTCTAGTTCTGACAGAAGGCTTATGGTTTGGGATCTTAACAGGTAGGAAGACATTTCCCATAATTTTTTGTTCTTTTCTTTTTTCTATAAATCTGCCTTTTAACATTTTCCACATTTTACTTTTATAATGACTCAGAATTGGCGATGAGATGATCGAGGGAGATGAAGAGGGTGGTCCTCCTGAACTACTCTTCTCTCATGGGGGTCATAAAGGCAAAATATCAGATTTTTCATGGAACCAACACCAGCCATGGGTAATCTCAAGTGTAGCTGAGGATAATTCTTTCCATGTCTGGCAAATGGCTGAAAGCATTTACAATGATGGCGATGTCGATGACGATAACGCTTGGATGGGTAGCGACCAGCACTAAGTAGAAGAAGTAGAAGAAGGATGAGAGGCAACAATGCTTTTACAGCCACTGCTTTGTTGTTTTGTTGTATGTTTTGTGACCATTTGACTATTACCAGTTTTTTTGTTGCTATATATTGTGATTGTTGAAACAATGGTGGGCATCAGTATTATCACAACAAGCTTTCAAAGTCAGAATGTATTTTGACAAGTATGTTGCCGCCTTATTGACAGAATACTGGAGCTTTGAGGAAGAGCTAAAAGTTGAGTCTGCTTTATTTTAGTCCATTCCCTATTATTGCAGAAGTTGTTAAATTTGCATTCATTGTATGAGCCTGCATTTTCGAAACTCTACAACTGCTGATACATTAAAGGAGAAACCAACTAGCATCCAAATTACAGCTTCTTGCACTTGACAAAATTCATAATTTTCTAACTTACCGTACATTCAACATGGTAGTGCAGCTTTGGCTTACTTTCCTCTAAAGCATTCTAATGAACACAATGGATTTAGTAACGAAATGAAAGGATGAAGATGATGATGCTATAAATGATATGATTAACGATTATCTAAAGATGTTACAATTGCTTTATAGCCGACTTGTTGGGTAAACTAACTAGTTAATTATACA